GCTAGTAAAAACTAATCGTTTTTTTTTTTTTGGTATTTTAACATTATGAAACAAAAAGAGGTGTTTTTTTTAATTTTTGAGTCGTACATTGATTTCTTCTGCTATGGATTAATATACACATATATTGAAATGTTAGGTTTTAACGTATTTATTAGCGCCTCTCATTTAATTGAACCGCTGCATATAAAATAATTTACTAAACTGATTTTATCTTGTTTAATTTAACAAACTTACGTGGTGAAATTGCATATCAGAAAAACTTCCAGAAGACATTTTTATTTATGTATTACACTATTGCCTGTTCTTGGATTTCTAATCAAAATAATGGAAAACATACACGCTTTTAAGTTTCTAAGATACAAACTTCGACTTAAACGAAAATTATTCTGAAATATATCATGCTTCCTTATGCAATTTTGAGTTGTTTAAAATATGTATTTTATTGTAATAAAATTATTGTCCCTATGATTCGCTATAAAGAGGAACTGCTCACAATATTTTCATACAATGGCGGCAATTTTCACACAATTATGCGATTGGGGGCGCTGGAAACCAACTAGATTATATCGTATGTTAACATGTTTGCTACAGAAGTACAAGTAGCTGTAGTATAGAGAGAAATTTCACTATTTAAAGAAGTATTAAGTACTGTAAGCTGCATTGGTTTTAATTTTTAAACGCCGTCTATCGAGTTGTTTACCAGGCTTTAATAATATCGAGAAACAACTTGTTTTTCTAAAATTAAAACAAAACATTAGATTCAAATTTCAAGCAGTCCGAAGAGTGGAGACGAATGTCACCATCGAATAGTTATGAATCAGAACTAGTCACTGAAATATTAATGCAATGCTAACTATTATTTACCTTTTGAAGTGCATTGTACCAAAAAGCACATAAAAATATGATTAATAAACAACTTTGTAAAACAGAAGCAATGGGTATAATTTTCACGTGTTTTTCTGAACTGTCAACTGAAAATGATATTATAAGTAATTTGTCTTTTTTTAGTAGAAAACATTTAATGAAAGTTATAGTCATATCTTTTGTAGAAGTGCACGTCTACAACCGCACATCTAAAATATTTTGTATATAAGTGGGTCTTGTTTTTTAGGATAACTTCATTTATTTTAATAGTTACATTTTTTGAATCTTGTGTGGTGCACACAACAAAATTTGATAGTGTTATTGTTCTTTTTGGAACCTAAAAATTGACTTTGAGCTTAGTTAGTAGTGGTGGTTTTGATTTAGCTGCAACATGATATACTCATCTAACTTAACATAGCTTGCAGTAGATATTTTGATATCTTGATTCTTTATAATATGAGGACATTCAACTTCCAACAGTGTTGTCATCAGTGACTCGGTCAGATGTGGCAACTAAATACCGATACATTGTGCAAACAAAAATTCCACATTTCCTTGTTTTCACTCCAGTGGCTTTTTCATATTTTTCTATTGTTACACTTCCGTACATTCGACTGTACTACAGTGTTGTCATCAGTGACTCGGTCAGATGTGGCAACTAAATACCGATACATTGTGCAAACAAAAATTCCACATTTCCTTGTTTTCACTCCAGTGGCTTTTTCATATTTTTCTATTGTTACACTTCCGTACATTCGTCTGTACTACAAAGCTGAGATATTAATGTTGCATTTGTTAGCATCTTTACTGTCTTATGCTTATCCTTGTGTGAGTTTTCTTCACTATTTCACCAAAGTTACTAGCAGTCGATCTGTAGGACCCGGTCTCTAGCCAAAGTTGAGAAAGTGCTTGCTTCCGTATAAGGTTACCAGACGACCAAATAAAGCTAGGATCGTTTCAGCTTTGGGCCTTTTTTTTTCGTCCCGATCAGAAACAGTAAAAGTATTGAAAATTTTCTGTTTCTTTGCACCTCAATATCAGTTTGATGTGTACGATATGTCATTATACACAGCTCCTTTAAATTTTACTTGAAAGACTCACCTGATAAAGAAAAATCACACGGTACAATGCTCCCTCCCTCTCTGCTATATTGTCATGGGCAGCCTCAAGAATTGAGACTCGCAGACATGCCCAGCAGCGAAAAACAAAATGAAGAAGCAACATTCATCTTTTGAGTAGATTCTAAGCAACTCAGGCGCATTTGTTATTATTAACTATATAAGCTTTTAACAGATTATGTTTGTCTATGGTTTAAAAACGCGATGCAATAATAAACATCAGATTACCTAGCAAATGTAAACAAGTGTGTTATTGTAATTTAAACGGTTTCAGGGTTGTTACAGTGTCACTATATATGAAATAAAATATCTTAGTTTTTCACTCCGGAAATCTGATAACCCTACAGCATTTGACATTTTAAAAATAACATCATTAAATTACTTAATACATCATTATACACAATTCGCAATGCCAAAGTTTTCTGATCTATCACGATCTGCCTTGCATTATAGAAGAATGAAAATTAATTCCACAATTACAAGTTCATTTCCTCACCCACATAATTTTGCTCCTGGTTTCTTTAGTTATCTTCTCACTTGAGATGGTTTATACTCCTTATATTTTGCCATTTTCTTGTTGTAAAGCTCAATGAAGATAATAATATGTAGGAGAGTGTATAGGCCTATAGTAATCCAATTGCTTGTTGAAGCCAACTTAAAGGAATAGTTTTGAACATACTCATTTAACAGTACAAGAACTTGTTAAATATCCCCCTGTAGGTCAGCGGTAAACTTACCAACTTTCAAGCTGTATTTCCTGGTTCGATACCCCACGATGTACAAAGCGCATCTGGTCCATTATGTAGTTTTGGACCAAAAACAGTATTTTAAACTTGTGATGCTAAATGCTTTTATTTTGTGAATCATTGGATAAGTAAGAAAAATACTTGAATGTTTTATCTCGAATCATTCAAGTAAAAATTAAAAACAAGCGAAATTTGGTGCCTCTCACATTTCAGTTTATTAAAGATAATGTGTCACATTTTTATAGCATACTTTCTTTCACATAGATGATCCTTCATCAAATTGTCAACATCAAAAGATGAACGAAAAAATCAGTGATGCAATTGAACAACGAGATGTGGTACGTTTTCATTCCTTACTTTTTGCGTTTTTAATCTAAACTTTTTAAAACATTCGTAGTTTTATTGAAGTTCAAACAAATACATGAATATATATTATGAATTACATAAGAATTCGCTCCAGAAAAACAGTATACACGCATTTGTCTTTTCATTCTATATTACAAGTATGAAAAAAAAAAGTAGAGCTTTACGAGTTCGAGTCCAAATCACAATAAGGGGCGTTTTTACGAACAAATTTAAAAATGTCATTATAAAATCATAAACTTTATATATTTTTTTTCGGATACATGCGCTATCCACCCTGATTTTGAACTGATAGATTAGAGGGAAGACAGCTAGTTAACAGCACTCGTTACCAACCCTTGGACTGCTGTAAATGAATAGTGAAATTTGACCGTCACTCTTATAACGCTCCCACAGCCTCAAAGTGCGGAGTGCGATTTTTTTCGGGTAACAGGACCTACAGATCCACAGTCCGGCAGCCTAACTACCTTTAGGCAAGTGATTATATGGTTTTGAAAATAAATCTGACATTCGATTCAACACTTGTCATTGCGTTGTACCAGTTTCGAAAAACTCCACCACATATCAGTAACACTGTACAAGATTTTTTTATTCTCTCATCTCATCGGCTATGAGGTAAAACTTCAGAGTATAGTTGCTATGGATAACGAGTGAGAAGGTCTAAATTTCACAGTACTGCAAAAGATTCTAAAACGGAAACTGATTGGTTTGAAATGATGCTGTTAAGTGTTCAAAACTTTATTCAATTAATTGTGAAGTGAGATATGAGAATAAAGTATTCAGGCAGAAAAGCATACTGTGACAGGCTCTTCATAGGAGAAGTCATATGTCCTGGATCACTCTCTGGAAGAGACATCTCATACATATCAAAGAGATGATCAATTGAAGGAAGCACATTTCGTGAAGGATGAAACGGAGAGATTAGCAAGTCAGCAGTGATGACGTTGCGAGTCAGGAAGCAGCGTGTGATATATTTAATGCGAAGCTTCTGAAGATGACGAAGAATATTGTTAAACGTGATGCGATTATTCAACTTCTAGGTTGGACTGTGTAGCTTTATCTTGAAGGCCAAACGGAAGGCATGGCGTTCTAGTACTGCAAGCCTTTCATAAATGCAAAAGGAGGCAGATAACAACGAGGTATGACCATAGGACGAATGAATACCTTATAACAATAGCGGGGGAGAATGGAACTCAAACCTCAACAATTCTATTTAGACAGTGCTGAAGATTGAGTCGTTGTGTCACCTTGAAAGTGACTTTTGTAAAGTAAATATTCCATTAAGATGATTATCGTAGGTGGCATGCAAATAGTTAACTATGTTTAAACAGTTTATCAGCATTTCGACGTGGTTGATAGTTTCCTGACAAATTGAAAGAACAAGACTAAGCCTCATATAGTGGTGGATGGGATATTATGTATAGTGTTTTGAGTTGTCTTTTGCTCCTCACAGTTAACATATGTTTATGTAGGATTTTAATAACAAGCATCATTGAATTATTTAGCAGAAAAGTTGTTTGTAATAGTCCAAATAATTATGAAGACCAATCTATCATTCGATTCACCACTTGTTACTGAGTTATACTGGATTCGAGGATTCCCACCCATCATCATTAATCCTTGAGAAGGGCACATCGAAATGAATTCCTTAGTATAATTTCATTCTAGCTCAAATGTGTGCTGACTGATCGAAAGAGTGTAACGCCCTCTCTTAAGACCAGGTAATATGATCAAAGTAGAAAGTGGTCATGATATGAGAGAAAGAGATGAAATAAGTATAGCTATAGTACGACGATGTCTGTCTATTTATAAAAAATGTATCGGTGTCCAAGGTTATATAGAGAAAGGAAAAGTTAGATGAACACGTCAATTGTCTTTTGTATAGACGAGTGCAAGGAGATTTGGCTTTGAGTGGTCAGCATGAGTGATCGGGCAGTGACATGACGTGAAGACTGAGATAATGTTCCACAGAAGGAAGATGTTTAAAGAGGCCTATGAACTGGTAGTTGAAGGAGGTAATCAAAAATAATATTTTGAGGTAGAAAAAAATTGTTAAACATATTTGATATGTAATGCCATAAGATTGGTGGAAAGAATATTCTGTCATAGAGTTTCATAGTCGGACTAGGAAGACGAGTGTGAAAGGCGAGTCAGAGTGCTTGTCGCTCAAGAACTTGAAGACGGGTGTAATAGGAAGAAACTGAAAACAAAGCAGTATGTTCACAGGTTAGACATGATCAGTTGAATACCTAGTAAGCATATCAAAGAAGAGGGGGATTCTGTCCCCAGGAGATTCCAGACAGACCACGTAGTAAGTGAAGTCTGGATATAATTCTCAAGTTTAGGGTCGACATCTGAGCCTTCCATGTTAGATATTTGTCAAAACCTATACTAAGATTCTTGATTGTAGCAAAGAGCTGAGGAGGACTGTTGTCTATACGGACATCGTAAAGAGGTGAGTTGGGACATGGATGAAATTTATGTTGTATTGGTCCAAAGAGTATAGCTTTAGTTTCTGTGGCATTAATGTGTAGGTTCCAGCTACGAATCCAGAACAAGAACGCACCGACCATTGTTTGGATGACTGTTAATAGATACTATTTTCGAGCATTTAGCAATGAGATCGGTACTATCTGTATATTGTATGAGATGAACAAGAAGAGGTACAATGTAGACGTAGGCTATATATTTATATAATAGTGGTGATAAAACTGATTCTTGTGAAATTCCAAGCAACCAAAGAGAAAAGGTATAAAGTTGTATCTTTCAGAGATGTAACTAAACAACTCTGAAGAAAGGAGGCGATGGAGCGAATGCACAACAGTGGGAATGACAGTTGTCCGAGTTTAAATATTAAGCCACGATGTCAAACAGAGTCAAAGGCTCATTCAAAATCGAATACAATCATGCAGGAAGGTTTGTTAATGTTCAAGTAAGTGGGGATAATGTCTGAAATGTTGAGTAGTTTATCTAAAGTCGAAAGCTGAGGACAGTATTAGGAAGAAAGTGGATGAAGTCTGTGTACTAGGATACGTTCCACAGTTTTGCTGAGAACATCTGTGAGGCTGATCGGTCGATAGGAACTAGCGTCAGTGGAAGGTTTAAGCAAGAGCAGGGTTGTAGATGTCCTCCGGAAGTTTGTAAAAAAATGTATACGAAGAAGGAAGTTGTATAAGTGAGAAATTGTGAGAAGGAAATTCGCTGGGGCATACTTTACATGTAAATAAGTAATGTATTCCAGACCACTAATTTCTCCCAGTAACATCTCTGATAATCGACAGGCTCTTCAACATCGTCGCAATATCTTCTAGAATATGATCAGGAGAAAGAGCAAGGTCATGTAGAATGGGTTGAACTAAACAAAAAAACATGGAAGTCATCTATAGAATCGAATGGATGTTGAACTGGGGTTAGAAATAGACTTTAAATATAGGAAAGAAAATAATTAGCTCTATCCAGGGATGAAGTAGATGGAGCTCCATCATTAAGAATGGGATAAATCGAAGAGCTGTGTTGGCTTGTAAAAAGGTAAAACTACTTTCAGTATTGATAGGCGTTTGTAAAATGACTAAATTAGTTACAGTAGTCATGCCATCGCCTACGTTTGACGGAACAGGCATATATCCCGACAGTGCATTGTAAACCACGATGTCTGGTGAGAAGGAAATAATCCCTTGTTCGGTTAAATTTTTGGGGAAGTCGTGATGAACGACAGAGAAGATTTAATACATGACGTGGTAAAGATGGCTTGTGTGGACAGTAAAGAAACGTAGTGATAGTCATGGAGCTGTCGTCACTGTGTAAGGGTGTTAATGAAATTGTTGACAGAATCGGAAGTTGAAAGAGGTAGGTGAAGTTTGTCGGTAAGGCAGGTGTGGTATGTGGACTAGTTGATTTTGTTGTGACCATGTACGAGACGACAAATACGTAAGAATGACTAAGCTTAATATTGTGGTTCATTGTACATTATTTGTGTAGTGTTTTGAGTTATTTTACCTTGAATCTATATTTATATAAGAACTGAGGAATATGTAGCAATGGTGCTACTAATTTATTCTTCTCAATTATCAACAAACAATCTATTTAAAATACTAAAAATATATATGAAGTTCTTCCTGTCATTCGATTTACCATTTTTTACTGAGTTATACTAGTTTCGGGAATTCCATCCCTCATCAGTAATCCTGGACAAGGGTCAATGAAAACAATAACAAAAAACAAATCTATGCTTTTTATAGTGGTGGAATGTATATTATATGTATGATGTTTTGAGTTGTCATTTACACATCATAGGGCCCGGCATGGCCAGGTGGTTAGGGCGCTCGACTAGCAATCCACCAAACATGCTCGCCCTTTCAGCCATGGGGGCGTTATAATGTGACGGTCAATCCCACTATTCGTTGGTGAAAGAGTAGCCCAAGAGTTGGCGGTCGGTGGTGATGACTAGCTGCCTTTCCTCTAGTCTTACACTGCTAAATTAGGGACGGCTAGCGCAGATAGCCCTCGTGTAGCTTTGCGCGAAATCCATAACAAACAAACAAACAAACAAATACATCACAGTAATCTTAAATTTATATAGGATTGGAAAAATATGTATCAAGTTCATGCTGCTAATTGTTTCTTTTTCTTATTATGCATGAAAGCTGTTTTAAATACTATATGAAGTTTGGTCATATTCTTTGTATTTGCCTTTTTTTGGTGTTATTGATGAGTGGTAGAATTCTCCAAAACCGATATAATTCGATGACAAATGGTAAGTCCAGTGATAGATTGGGTTTCATAGTAATTTTTAGCGTTTTAAACAGCTTTTCTGCATAATAATTAAGAAGAATAGATTAGTAGCATCAATGCTGCATGTTCTCCAAATCCCACGTAAATGGATGTTCACTGTGATGAGTGAAGGAGTAAAGGACAAATCCAAACACCACACATACGCTTCTTGGATCACAGGCTGTTTTAGTTCCTTATACTATGAATTATAGCACAGTATTTTGTCGTATCTTTATAATCATTTTAAATTTGAAGAATTTTTGAGGTAACGTATCCCTTTTCTAGTCAATTAAACGAATTTTTATAGAAAAAAAATACAATATTGTTCATTTTATAGGCAATTAAATAAGTTTTTAAAAAATAATCGCTTAAAGTGAAACTTGGTGATTTGGCGTCAAACTGCTTTTGGCTTGTTTATTGGATTTCTCGCAAGCTACTCGAGGACTTCCTGTATTAGCCACCCCTAAGTTATAAGTGGTAGATTAAAGGGAAAGTAGCTACTCATCACCACGTACCGCCAACTCTTGGGCTACTCTAATCGAATAATGGAATTGACCGTTACATTATAACGCTCCCACAGCTGAAAGAGAGAGCAGGTTTGGTGATAAGATTAGAATCGTGACTCGTAGGTTGCGAGTCGAGCGCCCTAACCACCCAGCCTTGCTGCTGGTAGCAGCAACAATTTATGGTTATAGCAACCGCCTGATCCTCCCAGAAGAATGAAAGATTATCTGTACATAGATTTAATTAACTTACAAATCACTCAATCTTCCTTAAACTTATGAATTGTCAGTATATACAGTGTGCCATTAAAAAAAAAAGTTTGAAATAAGATGCTAAACTATGCACAGCGGTTGGTTTTGAACTTTTGCTAAACTCGAAGACAAAGTCAAAAGTGAATGTTTACAGTGAAAAGGCCTAAGGCTTGTAATTTAGATTTTCCAGGTACATAGGTAATTAAAGCCGGGAAAAAAATTGCTGCTCATTGCAACCACATTTTCTTTTGTGCAAAATATTAAAGTAAATTATGTACAGAGGAGCCGACAGTCTGGTTGCTTTCTTACTTTTAAATACTTTGTATCTAATTGTATTTTTTTCCCGACAAACTAGGAATCAAGCGTTTCAGTGGATGCCAGTCAAGATGATAAGCCAGAAACTCGTCAGCTCTTTTCGTTCCTGCAAATATTAACTGCTGTATTTGGTGCATTTGCACATGGGGGAAATGACGTCAGGTATAGCACTTACCATAATTTATTTACGCACATAAAAGAATATATTCAATTATTTTTATAACAAATGAAGAAATAAGACAATGTTTCTCACAAGATTTTACACTTGTTTCCTGTTTGGGTATGTTTAGGATAAGCCGGGTGTATTTAATACAATTTAATTTTGTTCTGTTATTTTAACTGTACGTTTCATCTTTTTGTGAATCATAGTATATTTCACCTCAGTGAATGACTGGCACTCCATCAAGTGAAAACTGACTTAACGTTTCACTGCTTCTCATATCTATAATGTAGCCTTCTAGATACTTCGGAAATTCTCCCGATCATTAATATTCACGAACATTTTAGGTGTACTAGGACTAGTTATTTAATGTTAATGTCATGTGCTCCCGACCAAACAAACAAATTACAACATCGAAAATATAGCTTACATCAATATGTATATATATATGTAAATACATCACTGCTGTTACAGTAGTGCAAACTAGTATTTATACATTAAGAAGATGTCGTAACACACACTCAATTTTCTTGTAGGTTTAATGTTTTATCGTAATAACACTATTTGATGCCTCCCTAGTGGCTCAGCGGTAAGTCTTAAGGCTTATAACGCTAAAAATCAGATTTCGATACCCGTGGAGGGGGCACAGTACAAATACCCTATTGTGTAGCTTTGTGTTTAACTACGAACAAACTCATTTGATAATTTGCTTGCAATTTCGGGTTTTTTACCTTGCTATTATTAAAAGAATAATAAATTTGACGGATATTTCTGTGGTTTTTCAGCAAAGATAATGCCAAGGTACGTATGTAGAATTATACATGACCTCATCACAATCCCAAGCAAAGCTTGCGAGGTTAAATCACATCTCATTGCCAACAGATAATCTTTGGAATGCACCTGTGAAAAACCAGATTTCAAATGTGAGTCAACCTCTGATGTAGCATTTCTAAATAAACCTGTTTCAATGACAGATTTAAGGTGATGAAAATATAAGATGTTAATTGTGATAATAACCTTGAAACTAATTAAGGTATATCAGATTTAAAATGATCACTTCCTTAATTTGAAATTAAGTACAACGTATCAATAATATGTTATTACAAGTAATTAAAAATACATTAATCTAGAAAGTATACAGTAAAATCAAAACAACTCAAAGCCAGCTCTTATCACTTATCTCTCAGAAGATTGTTGGCATTTTCATAGTTAATCATGGACTGAATAGTTTTATAATGCCCCTCACTTCAGATTTTTGATAGCTTTCCAAAATATTGACTTTGCTAATAACAGATGCAACGAATAAAAACAAAACACTGATCCCAGAAACACAAAATATCTGTAAAGTTTGATATACCCTCTCATATAATTATTCACATTTAATCCAGCAACATCATTCAAGAGCTTTACAAACAAGCCTTACATCAAAGTAATCTTTCGTTCTTAAGCCAGTATTTAACCCTTCAGAAGAAAGTGAAATTTCGTCAACTAGACTGGCTATTTGAATATCCTAAGTGTTTTCCAGTGTTATTTATTCTTCAGTTTTAAAGTTAATTGTATTGCCCTTTATTGTAGTTTTACTATGTGTTATAGTAATAATTGAATTAATATTTTTTGGGGATGGATACATTTCTAATATTATTTCTCAATCAGTTATGAATTGAAATCAATTGAATTTATTGTTTTGCCTTAGAGAATTTCCTAGAATCCATTCTTCACATTAATTTTTTTATTATAGATACATTTTCCATCTAATTCAATACTATAATTTACATTTTCTGCTATTTGTTTACTTATTAATGTTTTAATTCTTCTCATCTTGTACATATTTTTCAGTATACCTGCACATTCGTATATTTTCCTTTCATTATCTTCCAAATCCACCAATTTTCTTATTGATTTCTTTCCTCTTCTATCAATTCACATTCTTTGCATTTATTCACACTCCTATATATGTGTTGCGTCAGCGAGGTCACGTAACTAGTATCACGCCACGTCCTTCTCTCGAACCTTCGTGAATTATCGGGAGACTACTAGATTGGGGTAGTCTGGTATATAT